AATGCATAATGTTAACTTCGCATATGGTCTGCTCTGTTAATTCTTACTCAAACATATTCATATTTATTGTGAGTCTAATCCCTCCTGCTGTAAAATTGCAACATGATGTAACTCAACACTAGTTACCATGGTGAGAGACGTCTGGGTCAGGTCATTGACCTTATTGGTTTGGAGAATAAGAGGAAGAAGAGGAAACATAGCAAAAAGAATATGTTTTCCTTCGGTAAACATACTTACCTGCTTTATGTATCTATGACAAGTCCTGCGTTGAAGCGAAACAAATCTCTTCTTACCTTTTTGCCATTGCTAAGAAGCAAGAATACGTCTAATTCATTTAGTTACTTGAAAATGTAAATATGTAACGCTATCTGTATCTCTAATTTTTACTTAACCCAGTTGGTATATGTGTAAAATAATTCATTCATTCATTAAAACTTCTCCAGGTACGTATACGTCCATCATAGCTTTTATTTCAGTGTGCTCTTACATATGGGGAACAGACTTTAGATCATATGATTGCTTTCAACGTTTACCCACCCGCAACGTACTCGAAATATGATCTGAAATAACAATATATTGAAAGTTTATTGTAAATTCATGCCCGAGGCCTAATTGCAAGAACATGATAACAAACAAAAAAACAGTAAAAAATTATAATAAATGTTGTGTACGTGTTGTAATAAAAATATTATGTGTGCCTTAATCATTCTTAAAGCAATTACAGCATCTCAGCAGATCTTCGAAATGATGAGCAGATATTAGAAATTTGAGGTGATGAAGTGCTGTGAAAATAATATAGGGAAATAACCTTCATGTATTTGTATTCTCGTAAATCTGCTTTAATTAATTTATTGTTTATGCAACAATAAATCAAATCAAACTTTACTGTGTACAAAATTGGTAAAAAACACACTTTTTATAGAATCTATACCGTTGCTACATTAGATGCATACTAAGTAAAATGTTGATACTTATTATGTCCAGACTATGCGTGATGTACAAAATGACTAACAAACTGGTACCTGGACATACCAACCACTATCTGATACCAGAAAAGAACAAGAAACAGTCGTGCCTTCAAATATAAGAGTTATCACCCAAGAAATGACGTGTTCAGAAACGTGTATTTCCCAAGTTTTAAGAACTATCGTAGAGTGGAACTCGTTGCCACCTAGCTAGTACAGCTGGGGAATTATCACTAGAAAGCTTTAAACAACTCCTGCAATTAAATGTGCAAACTTGAGATTGTGTGTCGTTCGGTGTGATATAGCTAGCTGCCGCCGCGCCGCGTGCCTGTGAAGCTGGTGTGTTACGACGAAGGGAGGTTATACCGGCTATGCCGATACAGATGTGATCAATGTCTCGGCACGGAGTCGAACTTCAGACCCTGTGATCCATGACGAAAGAGCGGGCTGCTAACGACAGCACAGTGCTGCTTGTCTGTTAAATGTCACCCGCACGGACGTTTTTCGACCGAAATCCCTGTAATTATAGTTTTCACGTTCGGCGGATTGAAATGGACCTTTCGTTCTAAGCCTTTCGTTATTAGCGTTGGGTGCATGTGGACTAATTGTGCCAATTGGATTTTAGCACAAGATACCATTAGTTCGGTAGGTAGATGCAGCTATTGACCGTTGCAAACAGTCGAGACAATTCCTAACAAAGACATGTAGGAGGCTGCAACGTTTACAATGATTAGATTACAGAGATGTCAAAGTCTCCTTATTATTGCATGCACAGTAGGATGGCGCTCGCCATGAGATAACCACGTCGGACAGTTTTAGGTTAATTGAACCCCTGTACAAAATTTACCGCGGCGTTCTCTGTAATTTGGCCCTTACCTGAGTACACATTCCAAGTAATGATCTAACCGAAGTCGCGTACGTGTACGGTTTCACGGGACTGCTATCATCTCTCTTCATTTCTCTTTTCTTTAACCCAACCTGCTTTATGTTCAATTCAATTCAGTTAATGTAGAGTGCTTATCGTTTATACTGCAAGTCAGTATGTGAATGTGCAAAGATCCGTCTGTGCAGAGGGCGTTCTCTGGAAACGTCCCCGCAAAACAAGATGGATAGACTGTCAAAATGTTTGATACCTCTGTTCTGGTCCAGTGATGAAGAATGTATGTCAGGCAGGTGTCGTGCCATACTACAGAAGTGACAAACGTATCAAGCCCTTCGGGACGCTATATTCGTATATTGGAATTGTTTTCTTCCGCCACATTAAATCAAAGAGCAATCATCTTTACTCTGTTCTCATGCCCGTTGGTCATTCGAGCCCTTCAAACACGTTCCCCGCATATCAGATGTAGTTCAAGGATAAATCAGTCATGTCTGATCTTTGATATTTGAAATATAAGTTATTGAATATCAAACTGCCTGAGGACTCGACAGAGTTATGGGTATCGGATAACTTTGAATGGTCAATTTATTAAACATGTGGCATTTTGTCTCAAACCGATACGAGTAACATTTATTTTCGCATAATTCAATGTACTGAAAGCTCGCAGCTTGCTGTTATGAAGTAGGCCTTTAATGAACTAGATACATCACTACAGCCACTTATGGCAGCATAAAAACGAAGGTGCAGCGAATCGAAGGACAAAACTGTAGTGCAGGTGGTAGTTCTCTTTTGGTTTTTCTCTGGCACGTTCACAGGTTTAAATTTAGTTGACTTAATGCACTTTTGAGTTGTGCTTTTGAGTTGACTTTATTTACTGTTGAGCTGATTTTGTACACTCTTGAGTTGACTTTTATGTTGTGTACCAATTTAACGTTGTATTAAGTTCTTTATTTTATGTCTCCAGTATGACTTTTGATTTGACTTGGATTAATGTTTATGTGACTTCTGTACTTCTGTACTAATGTTTATGCGAATGCTGATGTCCATATGGGCTGGGTGACAACCTCGACGTCGGAAGACACAATAATAAAATACATTCTTTCATTCATGTAAACTTAACCCTCATGCCCATTTTGACTCGTTTCAGACAAACAAAATAGGCTGAAAAAAGTCGTCTGTCTTCTACTTTAAATTTGCCTATTTCTGTTGTTTCAAATGGATATAGAGCTTTGCTGCTAAACTTTTCTGTGTGCCATCTAGTGTCTCTGCCACATTGCAGTGTAACTGTAGCACCCCTAACGATATTTTCATTACGACTGGTTAATGTTGTCGTTTGCCATCAGCGACCATATTGATATATATCGACTTAATGTAGTGTCGAGTATCGCAGTCGTGTGTTATCCTATTAGTTCCAAAATGTTTTCTTACCTATTTTGCTGACTTATAATTTCACCTCAACCAAATTACCATTTGAAATCAAACTTACATAGGGAATTGTTACTAAAGATCAAGCAAGTGGATACATTTTGAAAATGTCGGACGTTTCGAGTGGTCTGACAGTTTTCAAACTTCAAACAACTTCCTTGTGTATCTCACTACCTGGATGTCCAACCTTCATCGACGTTGAATCAAACTTGTTTTTGAAATTGACCATCTCTTAACACCATGTTTTTAGATTGAGGTTTAAACTTATTTGAAATAACGTTACATCATATTCGTTGACTATAGTTTGAAGCTATGTATAGTAGCATTGTATTATATACACTCTCATCCATTTTCATCTAAGGTTTATAATAGGCTTTGGATATACCACAATCAAATTTACAGTACCTTCATCCACGGCTTTGGGCATTCATTTCGTTTAGAAATGGTGATAATAAATGGCAAATAATAAGTACTTTGTTACTGCTGACTATATGAAATATGAGTACAGTTACTCGCCTTGGTCATGAATATAAGCATTTTCAGTATTATTGACTTAACTCTAATTGTAATTCAGGTTGCAGCATTGATTTATTATTTCAGCCTTATCGTACCGGAAGACAAAGCATTTGCAATTAGTGACTGTTGGGCAGGACAATGTGTGGATAATCAATTTTGAAGCGTTAGTGGAGATTAGGATCATGACAGGAAATTGAGTTAGTTCCATCAACTCGAAGTCGCAGTGAGCAAAATGTTGAAGAGGCTACCTATTCATTTGAAATGAAATTTGAAATTATTGAAATTACGACAGTGCAATACACGCGGAACAGAGGCAGCTGTTGCTGGTGTTGTATCCCGCACATAGAAACAAATACTGGACAAACAATACTCATTTTCACTTGAGTCTAGTGGGAAAAGTCGTTAAAGTGCCTTTCCCAAGGGCACAAGATTGGTGGCATGTCAGGACTCGAACCCGGGACCTCTTGATTCCGAGTCGCGCGCGCTGTCGTTGCGCCACACGACCCCACTTGGGATAGCGTATGAATCCCTAGAATTCCCTCAAATACCAAAACGCTCTAACAGAAGAGAATACGCAGCAAATGTGAAGCAAGTGTGAATGTGAACAAATCTGCCAATAGTGTCAAAACACAAGGACCGGTATGAGACTGTTCAGCAACTTTAGAACCTTCCCTCGACCACCAAGCAAGGTTGGCTGACGTTTGGGAACAGTCTGACCAGAATTTGAATTAGATTTGAATCAAACTTGACCACCCCCACCCCCAAACATGCCCCGAACACTGCTGACCTACACCCGAACGCCAGCCAACCATGGCCGACCCCCCGTCCACAGCCGAATGCTTTAAACATTTTGAAATAGCAGCCGACCTCGCTGAACACCATCCAACCACTGCCGTACCTTTCTCCCGACCTACTCCTAACCATGGTTGTGGAGAGTTCGGTAGTGCTTGGGAGGTCATGTTCGGCTATGTGTGACAGGGGCTTAACTATGACAATTCATGATTTGAACGTACAAGTACGGCCGGCAAGACGTACTTGTCGTCTCGGTTCACAGATCTCCAGTACCTCGGGACGCATATTTAGCCGTACGATTGCACACGGGTTGTAGCATTTTCTATGTGGCCTGCCAATGACAGAGCCGTAAATTGTTCGGTCAGAGTCGGGGACACTTTTTTTAGAAGAACGAGGTGTAAGGATGACAGAGATTGACTCACCATGTTGACCTCAGAGATCTGGTCGATACTGGAAATGGTCATGCTCATGTTGACTTCAACTGGATCACCTGAGGGACAAGACAGACAACACTCAGTGACAGAAAACGAAACTCTACGTTGTTGCTGACTTAGAACTCGAGCAAAATTGCAAAACATTTGTAGTGAAAAATATAAAAATCATCCATGTCATCGCCCAAATGCATGGATCTTTAATAACGTGGTTTTCATCTTTATTTTCTGATGCCCTAACTCAGTGTATTGTAATAGAAGGTCTCTATAGGATTCACATGTAAATTTAATGTTTTTTTTAGCTAGGAAGCTAATATATAGTATTTTGCGTCGTCCTGATTCTACTTTGAAGGGAATGGTTTTGCACGACTTCGTCTTCAAGTTTCATGTATCCTAGAAGCTGTTCACTAAGAATGACTTACCGGTAAGCTCATCCACGTACTGCAATGAGTTATGCTCAGGTACTTTAAAGCAATTCTTCATGTACCGAACTTGACAGTCACCCACCATATTGTGTGTTCATCACTTTCCAGTTTCAGCAAAATTGTATCGACTTTCACAATGAATTGCTTTCATCCGTAATAAGACTTACTGATTTGCTGAAAGATATGACAGTGAAATAAACTACTGGGCAGTGGATCGATATACTGCGCGATGATTATCGCAATTTGTATGACGGATTGCAGGGTTTAGTATGGAAAAGGTTCAAAGCAATGTCTAGAGGACCACCGTGTGTATTGTGACAGGGCTCGACATACGTTTTTCTCTATTACATGCAGAATTGCATGTTGGCAAAGATTTCACATGCAAATCTACATGCAAAGTTGAAGCCCAGCTCCAAGTCTTCTCTAGATACAAAGAAAGATACAAAAGAAAATCTCTTCCTAGTCCTTCCTATGATAGACAGAATTTGTACACAGTAGTGAGCGTACAAGGGACAAAAACCCCACGAATTTTTTTATAAACCTGAGAGAAATAATCGAGGTTTTAAACCTCCTTGGTTTATTTACAAATCAGTTTGTTAACATCAATTCCACAGTAGAAATGAGTATAGCGGTGCTATGATAGCAATTTTTAGTGGTGCACTATTCCAAAGTCTGGTGGAAATACTTTCTAACACATTTCCAAAATGAAAATTTGTATGTTCAGAATATTTTACATGCAAATCTTTAAAATATTATGCAAATTACATGTGGCATGTGGGTATTTCCAGCCCCGAATTGGCTCCGTGAATGTGTCCTTTCTCTTCTATCGTTACTTACTCAGTACTGGTGGGGTTGACCTAATGTCTCTGTGGATGATTAACTACCGTGATTGTACCATGCCACCCGTAGGCTAGCATTTACGCCATGCCAATGTACATTTATTAACTGACTCAGGATCAGCCCAACGGAGAAAGGAAAAGCTGCAGAAAAGATAATGCACGACTGCTATATTGTGTTAGGATCAGTTTTACTGCCATAGAAGTTATAGTTTTTCTAGAAGCAGTAATAAATTCTACACAGAAAGAGGTGTTTTGTAAGATATACATGAGCACATAATAACTCTTCCAGGCATGATACATTATTACGATACGGAAGACAAAGTGGTGGAATTATATTTTTCCAGTATTTACAGTTTGCACTCATTGCAATTCGAGACAGATTCATGAAGGCAGAATAAAATAATGCTTCAAGAAAGTATAATGTATAATGGTTACAAGTTAAAGACGTAATTTACTCAACAAACATCTCACATGATCCCATAATGGTTTGAAGATCTCCAAGCAGATTCTATAATGGATCTGATATCTCCTAGATGTTTTCAGGATGTATAAAAGATCTCTCCTAAAAGTAAATGGGTTGGGGGCTGATTGGGCTTATAGTGAGATGCAACTAGGGACTTTTCCAGAACTTGAATGTGGCCATTTATATCTATTCTAAACGTCAGTCTACTCTACCTGAGTTGGTAAAACACTGCGCAACTTTCAAGGAGTATGTCGGGAGTAATATATGTCTATCTTCTTGGTTGTCTACAGTTCTTTAGATGCATGCCAGAAGCCTTCTTTTTTGTTAGCGAAGGCAACTTATGACAGTGAAAGCATAAAGCATAATAGCTTCGGTGGTTTTGAGCCAGTGTTCGTGCGCTGATGGTATGGCATCATATTTGTCCTATCAGGGTGTAAGTGATTGAACTAGATACATCAATTTTCTCTATAAAGACATCATACAAAATAGTCCAAGATATTTTGCCAGCGTTGAAAAGAGTCCATCATTTATCTGGCTAATTCAATTCCCGTGCTCGTACGTGCGGTAAGAGCACAATATCATCGAGTTTGGTTAAAGAAATTATCCATCGGCTGGCTACTAATTTTAAAAAACAACTTGTCAGATGAGATATTTTCTCTGGTAGTGAAGGCTTTTATCGTTGTAAATTTTGAGAAGGCAGGTTTGATTGCATCGAATGCTATATACACCTCAGAGCGTCGTTTTGTTAAGGCCACGTCCAAGCTGATTTACTCTCTGAACTCTACAACAAGGGAAGGTCTTTCTCGGATCACTGGGAGACCTTCCAAGTGGTAAATAAATGTACCCCGTATTCCTGAAGGATCCATTTGAGTTTGCTTGACAGGACGTTTACGAGCGGGGTACATGACCCGTGTGTTAAACAGACGCCGTTAGATCTTCCACTGAGACGGTCGGCCTTGACAACAATAAACTTTGACGCTGCTAAACGTAACCTATGCTGCACGAAAAGTTGGATGAATATTTACGAAAGGTAGTAATGTTAACTTTGTATATAGTATCTGGCTTCACAATGGTAGTATATAAAAAGTCAAGTCCGGTAATTTCATTTACAACCCCTGTTAAGTCCGGAATCACCGTATTTGACTTTTATTTACTACCAGTATAAAGCCCAGTAGTGTTTATTTAAAAAAAAACAAAGTAAACATTACGCAACTTTACTGGTATTAACTGCCATTGGTAAATCTAAGTTTTCGTGCAGTGCTATGCTACTTTATGAATGAATGAATGAATGAATGAATGAATGATGGTTGTATATGTAATAGTTAGGGGCTGCAGATCTTCAAAACGCTTTGATGAGAAGGCATACTCTTTTCTTGGATCTGACTTGAAAATAAGGAATGTGACAATGGGCTGAGGGTACAATGGGCATATATTCTTGGAGAGAATGAATTTCGTAAGCGGAATGATACAAGAAGAGTAGCATAACTGGTTGGGGATCCGAAATTAAGGCATGAGTTGAAGACGAGATAATGGTTAAGGCCACGCAGTTGATAGCCTTAACCTAAGCAATTAAAGGGCCCAACTCATCTATAGACTAACTGCCAACTTGAATGCATTTGCAATGTTTCAATTCAAGTCTTTGCATCACATCATCATATATCGTTAATCGAAAACTAAGTTTTTAAAAGCAAAAGTTTACTGGCGTCATGGATTAGGTTATTTGCAGGTGGCGTCGGATTATTTGCAGCCCTCACAATCGTAAACCTCTGCGTTTTAGAATAAATGTTTACGAAAATCTGTCAAATCGTGTAAGCTGCTTCATTCGGTCTGAGGGTATACTTAAAACTCTCTTAACTGACGTGTTTTCATGTCAAGAAAATTTATCAGCATCTTATAGTTCCATCTGCTTCGGACATTCCTTATGTTCCTTACAGATAGCAGGAGAACCGCATATTCCGGCTTAAAAAATGAAACAAACAGCACAGTTTAGTTGTTTTCGTTATCTCCTGCATGCAGTGCGATTTTATGTGTTCTCGGGGGTTACTCCTGAGATTATACGCCCCTCAAGCGGAGGCGTTTATTACTACCACGGCGGCTTTACCTACTTCACTACGCCATTTATACACACAAGAGGTTCTCCCATAACTATATCATTAACGGATGGGGGTGTCTGTCAGCTGTAGGGTAACCTACAGAACAATAGCCTACTATTTATTTTACAGTATAATATGGCTAGTAGTAGACGTCAAGTATCTTTCAACTCACTATCGAATGATGGTCGTAAGAAGCGGTCGTACCCTCGGCTGGCGAGCAGCGCGTCCAGGGTCTGTGCCCGGCAACTGCAAAGGAAGAGAGACAGTAATTTGAATGTTTGCGGCTGTTGTACAGACACAATTTACCATCGTGTTCAAAATACATTCATACTTTCGCACTCTTTTTTGCCCTGAAAATCTACTACGAAGAACCCTCATATCAATAAAAGAAAATGGTGAATTTGTCTTCCTCTGCCTCAAAAGAGAACCCAGCAAATCTAGCAACACGTATGTTGTATATTGTAGCATAACGTTAGACATGGTCTCTTATATGATTGTTATTTTCTTTTCCATACATGTTGTTTGTACTTAGCCCCTTCGTGTATGTGTTTCCATTAAACGTTACTAGTTATTTCGGGATGTAGTTCAACAGGGGATTTAGTTGTAAGACATCTTATCGAAAAGAGTAGGGAACGTTCCCGGTGTGAGTGGTTCAAACCTTACATGTACAAAACTGGTGTGTTACGCCTAAAGGAGGTTTACCGGTTATGCGAAACAAACAAACAAATACAGAGCCTTAAGCCTTGAACCTACATCACGAGTTCCGTGGCTTTGAGTTTCGGATCATATCGACGTATTATGATGCACACGGTATGAAAGACTTTAGCCTCGTAATTAGTGGTAGCTTTTTTTGAGAGTGAATGAAACCTTCCTGTCAACTTTCCTGTCAAGTTTCACATTTAGACGAAATGGATCCTGCTTATTTGTGTTGCATGTAGAAAGGAAGTAATGAGCAATTGTCCGTCCCAACGTGTCCATAACCATCGTGTACAGCCAAAGGTAAATGCCATTGCGGGACCTGACATTGCTTCCACAATTGACAGCGTGTGCAGACTTGGCCGACTGCCCATCTCAGGTCCATAAGACTAGGACGATAGCCCCGTCGCCTGAAGAATAAACGATTGTCCTGGTGTCTCCATCCGCCGAACTATTGAGACGCAGACGTCCTAATGGGTCCGTGCACGTGACACTAGTTCTGTCAAGGTCCTTCTGAAAGCCTACGAAAATCAACATATAACGTACGAAAGGTTAAAGCATTTGCGTATTTACGACACGTGTTCGAACCGTTTCTGCTAAGATGAGCTTTACGAATGCACTTAGCGGGTCTCAGAGTTCAAATAAAATAGACGGAGCTGTTTGGAGATCATTATCAGGCAGACAGCGTAGCACCAGAGGAGTATTATTCACTGCTTACACCCCTTGTAATCACCGGGCCAGGCGAGCACCCCACTGACATAGGCGTCCTGCGGCCTAAAATGAATAGGCTTTTTCTGTTGATGGTCCTCTTTGAAGTTCAAAGACGTGGCTACGAAAGAACATAAACTGTGCTGTAATGTATGTTCTTAAATAAGAGAAGTGTTCTCTTAAAAAAAGGCTCTATGTTTTACTTTGTGTTGTAGTTAGTCATGATTAATGCATTCATTGAAGCCCTGGACTGGCTGGAGCAGTGGGCCGACAATATATGATGATGATGATGATTGACAAAGGTACCGTCAGGCATTTTTGACTGGCAATGCCACGAGATACATTACTTCCTATTTCGGAGTTTCCTTCCCTATATTTTCTGTGAAACTGTGCAAACTGACAACTAGGAAAACGTGCGATGTTAAGCATGGACAAACTGATACAATACAAAACTGACACAATACATAATACACAAGTAAGGAACAGATCAATATTTACATTGAATTGCGTCTCCTGGGATACGTGTAAAAACTCGGAGATCTGACAGTCCAATCAACGAGTAATGTCTAATTTCACAGAAAATAAAGCAAATCAAAGCATGGCCTATTCGCAATTACGGCATATACCCAAAGGACAGGTATAATTGTGTTCCTCCCTGCTCTACAATCTGCAACAATAACGAGACTGAAGCTGGTGCTTTCGCAGTAGAACTGTAACATTTATCTAGCAGGGCTACGCGGCCAAGGGTTAATAGACCTATAACTGACTGGGGATTAGTAGAGCGCAGCGGATGGTGATATTCCAGCCACTCCATAAATACTGCATGAGCTTGTGCAGCACCAACAGGACAGGAAGAAGTTGTGCATATTGTCAGTGCATTGATTTTTTCCTTCCTTTCCCTTCACGCTAACTTGGATCGACTCCAGCCCAGTGATAGTGTTTCGAGCTTGTTGTTTAGAGCCTAGGCACATGTCCAAAGCAGTTTTACCAACTACTTTGGTCCTGCTATCAATCAACTTGCGCCAAACACCGTGTGCTATGGTCGCCTCATCCTTTGATTTTCTACATATTCAACCATCTACTTTTTGTTGTTTTCTTATGTCACGATCGATGAGCTGAGACATTAAAAACCAAATCCTACATGAGTTGGTGATTGTTGTGTCTCAATCATAAAAGGTCATGGGCTTACGGTTCAATGTAATGCGCACCGTTGTCGTCTATACCAAACTATCCCCTTCACATTCGTTTTACATCACAATAAGACTGATATCTGCGTCGAAATTCTACGGAAAGACATGTCATTTTTTCAGACGTGCGTCTTGGTCAGATAACTGCGAAGTCTGCGAATGATGCAAATTCACTAAAACGACCCCTGCCATGGTTGTTTTATTCAACGAGAACACCATCCGTCATTCTAGCAATTGGAGAAAAGATAAGGTTACGGGAGATGGAATAGATGCCACCCAGAATATTGGGTCAGACAATCGCGGGTTTCAGTGGATTTATCACATCAAAGTCCCCTTGGGAAGGTCTAGGCCGCTGCGACAGTGTATCACTCTCATGCAATTCAGATGATTTCTTGAGGACCTCTGAAGATGACTTGTACTCTTCAACAAGAGGTACAGGCTTACTTCTGGTGTGTTTTAGTCGGTTTTTTTTCTTTTTTGTACGGGTATCTTTTTTTGGGTGGCAAATGGCAATTGCCTGGCAAATGGATATACTGCCTCGCAAATGGATACAGCCTGGCCAAATTAGTACAGCCGCCAAAAGATATGCTTGGAGATTAGTTGACTAGTGCAGAGCGTGCTCTAAATCGGGCAGCTCAACGGGTATATTAGAAATTTGGAGTTATTATATTTAGTTTATTGCTTATTAAACCGATCTCCATTAGTTTGTACAGACTGAGTTTCCATACATACTATTCTTCCTGGAGTCGTTATGCACATTTAACTACATACTACTAACGTAACAACATGGTAATGCTTAACTACAAACTACATAAACACACACAACATGCAAATTGTACCGAGAGATCAGAGGTCTTATTATAAAATTAAAAAAATTCGTACTTACACTTTGTTGACATTACTACTACCACCATTATTTTTAGTCTTTCTGGTGAGGAACAATAACGTCGCTATCATCATAGTTGGGACCATCTCATCACGATTGTTCCAGCCAAACATCTATTCATTAATTACCAGCTTTTACGAGCAGTGCCGTACCGGTCACCCTGGCATTTTAAAGGCAGATTCTCAAGTCTGATTAGTTGCAAATATGCAGGGCAAAAAATCGATAATCCGCAAACAATATTTTGAGCCCGCTGTCTGTGCTTAAATTGAATCTGACTAAACGTTTTCTTTGTTTCGCGAACCACTTTGTATTCCCAGATGTAGCAGATAACTTACAACTCGGAACACAAGAGAGGGTGAACACACCGGTTTGCTTCAAACTCCGAGAACGGCCTTGGAAAGATGGAAAAGAACGACAAGGAACTTAATAAAAAGAGCAGAGAGATTACTGCGGCCTATCGCAACGTGCTGATATGAGCTGTGTGGAAGCTCCCCTTGGGGCTCTGGAGTGTGCGATACATTCTTTAGTTCTAGTCTTTTTTTGTTACTTTCGCTGCACCGGGTTAACAGTTAGCCGTTTGGTTTGTTGGCTGGCATGATAATCCGACTTTGAATTGCCCTTACTTCTGTGCCTGCCTTAGCATCTAGAATGAGCTTCCGTTCTTTTTTACATAGAGAGTTCAGCTCATTGCAGCACTCATTTCAGTCCGCGATACATTACGTTTTCGCACTTTATCGCTATCTAGATGCACACCGTTGTGCCATGATCTTCTTTCTCCCCACAGCAGCTTTGCCGTGCATGCACTAGTAGCACCAAGGCTATGGAAGGGATAAGGACCAAAGATAGCTTACAGATGCAAATACGCTTCCAACAAATTCTAAATTTTACATTGCTTTAAACACGCTGCTGTTATTCTTTTGAAAGTGCTCGTTATTGAAGTAACATATTTGCTCATTCGCAACAAACAGAAAGAATGTAATCAGACCTCTATTTTCTCTGCAATTCTTGCTTGTCGTCGCAGAAAGTAGGAATGTATCGTAACTGTCCATATGTCTATGCGAAAATACAGTGCTTCGTAAGCTCACACTAGTAGCTCATCAACTAATCAACCTGTATATATCAAGAGCGTATACGGAAGGGGACGTCACGAATACGCTGGGGTATATAGATAAAGCTTCACCTCGAGTATGATTTCACCTTTGTGTCCTCGCACAACCTAAACAAGCTCGTATATTTGATTGTCTCCAAGCTATAGCTAGATACCGAGACAGTGACAAACCCCTGGGATAGAAAAAGTTACCTCAACGCACATGGAGAAAAGCCTGCGTCTTACTAAAATCAATTATCTTAAACTCAGCCGGAAGGTACCACCGGCAGAGTGTATAATCGGCAGTTGATAGCAGAACGGGCCTGATGAATGTTACGTGGGTGTTCATGGGTGTTCAGGTTAAACAAAGCCTCTAGACCAATCACCAAACAAATACCATGAATAATGCCTATATATTATTTGGATAATTCTCCCACTTCATATGGCTACTAAGTGAATTTTCCTTCATTTCAAGTTAGTAATTTAGAAACGCCGAACAACGAACTGGTACTGATGTGGATAGCAGCGTTCGTTTGTATCAATTTGTATTATTTTTCTGTGGCGCATTATATGCATCTTTCACAGCCCATGGTCGTTTTCTACCGTCTACATCGACGTTAAAATTCCCATTGCCTTCTGTACTCTTTCTGTACTTTCTGCCTTATGACCATCACTAT